CTGAAAGGCAGGGGCCTTGGCGATGGGCGGGTGAGGTGTAGAGGCTGGAGCTGCTGGGCCCACACAGTCCATTCCACTCCCTTAAAAAAAAAGCAACAGAAAATCAGGATCATAGAATAATGTCGGTTGAAAGGGACCTTCAGAAGCTGTCTGGTCCAGCTCAGAGCAGGCCTGATCAGATCAGGCTGCTCAGGCCTGTGTTCAGTCAGGGTTGATCACGTCCAAGGGGAGGGAAGGGATCTCTGGAGACCCACTCACACCAGTCCCCCTCAGCAGCTGGCTGTTGGGACACAGTCTGTGGGAGCCCCTGCCCCGATCCAGAGCTGACCCCCCTCCAGCTGCTGATGCTGAGACCCTCAGGCGCACGTCTGTACCAGCTGCGAAGCCCCAGTGTGCCTGCTGTTTCTTCATAGCCCATCAATTAGTGCCACTGGCGGGGTCTGTTTCTGGTTGTTGTCTTCGTTAACACGAATTGGGCAGGTTTTATGTCTCTCTGTTTGCCTCCTTCCGTTTCCTTATCATCTTGACAGAAAAAACAAGCGTCTCACTCCACACATCCTGACCGATCAGTGCACTGTCCAGGCTTGTTCCCATCACCACCTCCCACATTGTGTGTTGATCAGGTTTGCCCCTGCATGTTCTCGTGGACGTCTCCTTTGACCAGGTACCCCCAGAGGAGCAGGTGCTCTGTCCACGCTGCCTCACACCACTGAAGCCCCACTGACCACCAAAGCTGGGCCACTGCTGAGGTCCTGACTGCAGCCCCACCGAGGAGCCTGGTCTCCTCTTGGGGTGCTACGTGGTGCCTTTGGATGGACACAGGTTGTGTGTGTTATCCTGGCACGGGCGTGTTCCCTCCCAGATCCTAACATTTAATTTATTTGGCCTGCTGCTGAGCACACATCAAATAATCTTCCTGCTGACCAGTAACAGCTCAGAGCTGGGTCTGTGGACAGCAGGATTGCATCTCCCGGGTGTGCCTCTTTACCTACCTTGGACGTAATCTGCTATTTTTATTCCGGTCACTCTATGTTGCTTGGCCTTCCTGCAGATTTTGCAGCTGGCACTTTACTGAGCCAAATAATTTGCTGCCATCTGCTCCTTCACTGTTCACAGCGTTTCCCAGACCGTGCCTGCACGTGTGAAACAGCCCAGCTCTCAGCATGGGTCCCCCCAGGCCCCGCTGGTGTCTCCCTCACTGAGAAGAGGGCTTGCTTTTTCGTGCCTTTTCTTTCCTTTGAGTATTTGTGGCGTTTGCCTCTACGACATCCCAGTTTAACTGCCTGCCGCGCGCTGACACCTTTCCTGCCTTTACCCGATGCTTAGTTCTTAGGGAAAATAGCAAATATTAGTTCCCTGCTTGCCTTGTCTGTGTCATTTATTTTTTTACAACCCTTCTACATCCCCGCTCAGGATCTGCCCTTCCTCCTGACTGCAGAGGACACTGTCTACCTCGCTCAGTCCCCGCACAGCCATCCACTGCCCCGTATGCCTGCATGCTCACCTTCCCCTAGCCGAGCTCCCTGGGGCTGGGACTTTGGCCCAGGGTCCTCTGCCGGTGTATTTGTGATTTTGAGCCAACTCCAAGCTCTCTGATGACGGCCCCACGCTGCCGCCAGCACTCCCTCCTCTACCGTTCCTGTGCAGGTCATACTTTGGTGTCACCATGTCCTCCTCCCAAGACACCCACGGCGTGCCAGTCTTTTGCTGAAGACGAGGCATTCCAGTTCCTCAGCCCTGTATGTTATATTTATCCTGGTTCTCTACTTTTTTCTGTAT